TCGCCGTATGAATGTGCTTCTTTGCGATTGTTCCAGCATCCTGGAGAATACAGCCCAGGATCGCCGGCAGATTGACCGCCAGGAGATGCGCTACTGGTTAAAGCAAATGAAGAAGTTGCCAGTTACATAGCTGAATAGTCGCACTACAAGCTGATCCGATCATTCACAGTAGTGCATCTTAAAACTGTGAACAAGTAAAACGCTGATTTCCATAATATTCCATTAATAATAGGGAATTTCAAATCACTGAATCTATGGGTTTCGAGTGAGGGTAGTTCTTGGCAGAATTACTCGTGCTTGGCCCAGTAGGCAAAATCCTTTGGCAACTGTTTCTTTTAATAAGAGTCTTCCTGAGCAGACTGCATACTGCTAATGCAGGATATGCAAGTTTTCACACCAATTTGTTCTCCCAAGAAACGCACGAATTGCAAAAAAAATCTGCATAATAAATTGCTATGTTTGGATCTCCAAAGTTTTCAAAAGTTTTTTTGTTGGCTGAGAATGACTACTGCGCAAATTGGATATTGCTTTTTTCCACTTTAAGCACACCCAACAAATGCATGAAATGCAAGAAAAATTGATGAGCAAATGGGAAAACTGGCATCGCTAGAATTTATAAGCGGCAGGTTTTTTTTTTTTTTTTATTGAGGGCAGTTCCTAATCAAATTAGAAACTGTTAATTAAGTAGGGGGTTTTCACGTTAATTATTTATGACCAATAAACGCACTGCAAGGGGTTGGACAAATAAGAACAGTGGCATTTTAAATCGACGCAATTCGTAATAAAATGTTGATTTTTTGTTTGTTGAAGATAGTTGCCGGATGAATTACGATTTGCTAATCAAACAAGAAAATTTCTGCATCAATTATTTACACCCAATAAACGCATAATTTTCAAGGAAATTTGCTGAACAAATGAGAAATGAAAATGGTAATAAAATCGAATCGTTCAGCATTACTTGCAACAGAGCCTTTGAAATCAATACGAATTAGCACAAAAATAGAGCGCGGGCGTGTAATATAAAACCGGAGGGGGAAGTTTTCCCAGCTGTCAGCTGCTATGAACGTTAAACTGCTTCATGAAAAAACGGCTCTCCTGCCTCCATCACTCATCCCCCTCTCTCCCTCCCTTCTTCCAGAACCCAGCCGTGAAACACACCTCACGAGCTTATTTTCCAGGTCAAGTTGAAATAGAAATTATGATGCAAAAAGGATAAAAAGCACTACAGGAGGTCTCGAGACTCGATTCACTCACTGCGTTTGAGCACAAGAGAAAATAAATTTGGTTGTGAAAAAAGTCGTGGCGAGGAAATTAAATCAGTGCAACATGTGGTGCTTCTCCGAAAAAAAGAGAGGCGGTGGAAAAACCGGTGAGTCCGCGAAAACACTATGCCAATCGTATTCCATCAAACAGCATTCGAAACAAGAGGTTATGCAGCTGGAAAGAGCGCATATCCAGGAGGGAAAAACGAGAGGCATGGGAGCGAGTGGGAGGCAGAACGGTTAAATGTGGAAATGAGCTGGTAGTGTATGGGTTCCATCCCAGCAACTAATGCTAACAAGTTTTTATAGAATTGGAGCGTTAGTACAGCATTGGGGCCTATTCTTTTACATTTTTATTCTCATTAAAACTTATTAAAACTAGAGAGGTGGTTCTGGTTATTAACGATTGCTAAGTCTTTTTATGATAATCAGTAAGACAAGTTTATCCGGCTCGACACGTATAACAACTGTTAAAGATTACCTGGTGATAACGACTTCAAATTGATAAGGCACACTTTTCGTAATCGAAAAGTGACAACATTCGAGATAAGGTGACGATACTCAACGCACACACCAAGGATATTCGAGACGAGTAAAGTTTTGAGTAGTCAGGAAAACGGCCATGCTGGCCATTCGTTCAGGAAACAGGATTATATAAACACTTGGTCCTCCATCAAACAGACCATCGATGATACAAGCACTGTTCAAAGCAAATGGTGAAAGTTGTTGTCAGCTGCATAATTGGAGAAATCGATTATGTGAACTACAGCCGAACCAAGTATCCAAGTAATGAATGCACTAACAATTAAGTTATAATTATTATAATTGTTGGAAATAATTGTGGTTGTTGTGGTTAATGAAATTGTAATTATTGGCATAATCGAAACTATAAACTAATATTAATAAGTAGTGCCACAAGGACTGCCAGATTCCTTGGTTGCCATCGGCCGTCGATTCCACTCTCACCAACAACATCGCTACCGCCATCTGCATTAGTTGGGCTCTCTAAGTTGCAGACTATGCCTATGCTAAAAGCACATAATTATACTAAAAATAACAAGTCCGCCTACATGCATAATTATATTAGCGACAAATTTCCGGGAAATCCATGCATTACCAAGGGATTAAAACAATCCGCGAGAGATATTCACTAGTTCCAGAAATTTCCGGTGTGGTCTTCCACTCCCATCGAGTGCCTCATTTGGCTGCCTGTGACCTCCAAACTGGGCCAGTAAATGGCATAGTTAAGAAAATATCTTCTCATCGGGGGACAGAGCGTGCACGCTGTTTCTGCCAAGTGCTACGCTGCGGGGAAAGAAACCAAGCAAAGATATCCTTATGGGTGGGGTACCCAACATTTTTGATTTTTTTTGTTTGGGAAAATACTGCTCACACTACTAGCAAATTGGGCAAAGGCGAGTCAGTGGCAATTGATGAGTGAAAGTTCGATTCCGTCTGTGCGATAACCAGTTCTTTTACGATTCATCAATTCGTGTGAAAGCAAATTGGTACAGGCGTATGCCAGAGAGTCAAACCCACCATCAACTGCTTTCAAGCAATCCTCGAAAAAGAGAGCGAGTGGATTTACTAGTATTCAGATTGCTTCCGAGTGCCTTCCACTTTTACAGTAAATGAATGGGGAGAGCGTTTTGACTTTGACCGCTAAAAGTGATTCATTTCCCGAGAACTGGTAAGCATTAGGATGTATATTCGGACAACAGATAACTGAAATTTGCTTAAATCACTCCTACCGGCCTATTGAGACACCTGATCACAGCTACCTAGTATTCTAAGATTATTTTCAGCTGAACAAATAGCATTTTACTGGATTCTGGCTAATCCTATCAGCTAACTTTGTAACCCGCAACACCACCTTCTCTTGTATCTCAGCGTGCCAAATTGATATGCACAAATTAGCTGGCCAAAATAAA